GGGGGGGGGGGGGCGGGTGACGTGCGGCGGGTTATTTGGAGGTGGTGGTGTACGCAGGAATCAGGTGTCATGCAGGCGAGCGTAACGCAGGCACGGAAGCACTAACAACACACGAATCCCACGCTCGCCAAAAAAAATGCCAAACAAGGAAAACTCACATTTTCCTGGACGGAGAATCCGCTGCTCTAGCACCGTCGGCTCGGCCGTCGATACGACCGTGCGCTTCCCCCGTCCCAGGCGCGACCCCTTCGAATCTGGCGTTTAACTTTCCCATGCCCATTTTCGCCACGTCCTTCATGCATCAGCGCGGCGGAATAGAGGCGATCGGGGAACCGGAGAAACACAAGTCGGTCATCATACAACACCATGAACTAATTCATTGCTAATTCTATCCCAGACTCTCTTATCTGTGGAGGAGGTGCAGTTGATGAGTTTTTGTCACAAAACACAGAAAAGAAACAGGAAAACGCTCAGCTATACAAAGTATGCACGTGCCGTGGAGGGGAAGTGAGATGAGGCGAAAAGAAGTGATGGCCCAAGCTGACTCATACAAGATTTTCTTGGAATGGAATGAGCAAAAGCACGAGATAATAACGCCGTAGCACGTTTCCAGCCGACTTCATTCACGCACCGGATGCTCTAAAACATTCTATGTCAACATGTCAGGTAAATGTTCTTCCAAAGCAAAGCACACAGCAAGTGTTGGTCATTGTTCTAAAAAAAGCACAACGAATGGGTTTCCAACAACAGCAACATCACTCTCCCGGAGCTTAGCAATGATCTACGCTTCTACAGCTTCCCAAACACAACAGAAAATCGAGCAGGCCGAACGATCAATGGGCTGTTAAGCCTACCCCACATGGCTAGTCCGCACGGCGAACGAGTTCACCCACACACTCACGGGCTCGTCCAGAAGCAAGAGACGCTACTAGACAACGCTCGCAGTGTCCTACACGGCAGCAAAGCAACGTGGTTTGGATACATCGGCGAATCCGTCAACGGGACCCCAGTCATGACGTCATGACCTTGTCATGCGCACTGAGACTGGCGTCTTGTCATTTGTTGAAGAGCAGCCCATGCTAGAAATCAAGACACACACATAAGCATTGACGTCCCTTCATGGATCAGCCCGTTAGCGTGATCGATGCTAATAACAAAACGCACACACACACACAAAGGCGGGCGTCTTTTCATTGGTGAGCGGATAGCGCGGTCGATGCTTCAACACCCAACACACCTGGTCCGTAGAAATGCTCGGGAAGAACCCTATGCTAAGCATCCGCGTATGGTCCCAATCAATCTCCTCGTCGCCCGCCTCCATGCCGCTCGTGTCCAAAGACTGCGACCCTCGAGACAAGCTGGCTTTGGTGCCGGCGTACGCCGGCGATGGTGCCGGGGANGGGGGGGGGGGGGGGGGGGGGGGGGGGGGGGGGGGGGGGGGGGGGGGGGGGGGGGGGTTGCGAAGGGAAAGAAAACGACCATCGTGAGGCACAACCGATGAAAATCGATGTACAGACAGAAATTACACAGCGGACGAGATGGCTCTGGTTGTAAACACACACACACACACACACACACACTGGTAGATAGAAGTGTTTTGTGTTTTCAACCGCACTAAGACTGACGTCTTTTCATTGGTCAGCCGGTTAGCGCGGTCGATGCTAATAATAAAAACACACACACACACACACACACTGGTAGATAGAAGTGTTTTGTGTTTTCAACCGCACTAAGACTGACGTCTTTTCATTGGTCAGCCGGTTAGCGCGGTCGATGCTAATAATAAAAACACACACACACACACACAAAGTTTTGAGTTTTTAACCGCACGGAGACTGAGGTCTGTTAATTGGTCTGCCAGTTCTGTAGCGCGGTCGATGGTAACAATCAAAGCACACACAAACAAGTGCGACGGACAGGATGCTGCTCTACACGGTGCACGCTGAGTACGATGCACGACGAGCGATCGGGGGTGAACCACGCACAGCAAATAGGAGCCGTCGGCAGCGGCAGCGCCTCTCGTTTGGTGTGGCGTTGGATAGACTCCAACAAGGCGTGTCTATTTCAATCTACGCGAAACACAAGTTACACACCATCAACAACGAATGTTACTTTTGCCTCCACAGCCCGAGGTCAGCCACAACAAGGGGTCCATGGAGCGGCCGACAAGCCTTGACAGAGGTAGAATATTTGTCCCCAAGGTTGTACGAGGGAAGTCGCTGCAACAAAGGCTGTCACCAGTGCCACCAGACTTTTTCCATACTAATGCAGAG